CAAAAGTACGTGGAATTACATATAATTACCAAGTTTTATTGAAATCGGTTACCGGAAAGTGTGCAAACCCGGATTCATCCCCCTGTTCGTCACTATACGGGACTTGACACAGGAGATAATAAAAATCGGTTCTCAATGCTCAAAGTATATTGAGAGAGAAAAACACATTGAATTGGAGAATAGCAAAATCAACCATTAAAATAATTGCTCCTTATAATACAATTTAGGTGCTATTTATATAAATGAATCTTCATGCGTGAATAGCCACCGTTAGACGTGGATGATTTTCTTCAAAATTAAATGGGACCACTATGGAGGTACCCTTTTTCGAACAAAAGAAGAAAGAAAGAATCATGAAAATCGGTTCACAAATACTGGAGTTATCGCGTAACATACATACAAAAAAAAACATACAGTCGAATTGAGAACCTCCTCCTTTTTTAAAGTCGGTTAAAAAATATAAACGTAGTTAAGACCATGTTTTGTAGCTAAACTCAATGTCAACAGGTCGAGCAATTCGACGTCACCGTACGATTTGTCTCTTCAAGACTCCAAAAACCAACGTATTTATTGTAACTGATACACTTTACTAGACTTGTTAAAGGAAACTGAATTAAAAAGTGGTTACAAAAATCAAGGATTGGAAAAACTTCAATTAGATAAACAAGTAGCATGCAGCGTGTCTTACTCAAGTGTTTTATATAGTTACTTTGTTGCGTAATTGTGATTTAGTTTTTGCTACAAACTCGGTAAAAAACAACAAAACAAACAAACAACAAAACCGTGATTACCTGCCATATACATGTACATCATAAACAGCTCCTACAGCGTGCCCATGGCATGACGAATTGGAGAATCTCGAGAAACTTTAAAGTTACAAATAAAGTGGGCCACAAAATGATTTTCGCAGAGCCGTTGCATCAATCACGTCTCTCGGTTACAGTTTGAAAAAAAAGTTCAAGCTGTAAAAATGTTAACACCACGATTTTATTATGTAGTATGTATGTTAGTCCTTAAGGTATATATATTATATGGGTCATGTGGCCTGAAATAAATAAACAAATAAAAAAGAAGTACATCGGGTACTCATGCAAAAATTCCTTCGTCTACTCGTTGTTGAGAGATCAGTGGCCGAGCGCCTCTTAAATGCTACAGCGAATGACTCGCGTTGACGGATTGTAACGTAATATTTAATAGAGCGAATTATTAGGCAACTGCCTTAGGCCTATAATTATGTTCTCGTGTCTGATGCTATATGATAAGATTATATATGATAAGAACAATTAGTTAGGAGATCATAATTCAAGTTGTTAGACAACAATTTGTGAGCCTGAAACAAAACACAGAGCGGTGGTAGCCAACTGGGAGAACGATTACTTCTCAATTGGCAGGTCGATCCCTGTAGTGGCATTTGTGAATGTTGAGTAGAAATACCTGTCTCTAACGATAAATGAAAACATCATGATGCACGTCGAGGAAAGTTCCCAACCCTTGGAATAATAATAATATTAATAACGCGCTCTATAGCGGGTGCTATGGACACACACATAGACAACAACAAATTACACCCAAAGTCACGAGACAAATAAATGTAGGCCTTGCAAATATTTCTCTCGGCCCGGGAATCGAACTCTGCGTGGTAGTACAGCGTGGTAACATTCGGCCACCGAAGCAGTTAATATAAACAGGACTACCTACATGTAACGTTCTCAAACCCGCATTAGGTAAGCGTGGCGAATTAAGCTAAGTCTAAGGCTGGCGTTTATAAAACGGAATTTGACTTCGCCCAAGCAAACATGGCGAGTGAAGCGAGTTTTTCGCATTTACAAAAAGAACTTTGCTTAGGTTTAAGCAACAAAGTCGAAGTTCGTTTTATCTGTCCTTAAAGGCGAACTGTATCCGGGCTGTGAGATTTATAAGGAATTGATGAAGACGACGACGCTGATGATGATGGCGAAAGAACTAAACATTAGATGTGCAGTAGAAAAAAATATTTTCAATAAATAAAAAGTTTTAAACCTTATATTTCATAGAAAATGCAGATCTCCTTGTGAAAGAGTTCGTCCAGGGAAGTACTGCCAATGTGCCTAATACTGCCGTAAGGGTGCTGGTGAAATTACAGGCACATGGGACTTGTCAACTTATGTCTCAGGATAGCAGGCGCAGTGGCAGTGCCCCTCAGATTTTTGCGATTTAAAGCTCGGAGTGACATTGGTACCACCAAGCACACGACTTGTTCGTCCCGTCCCTCCATGGTATACAAAAAAAAAGATACGACCACACCACGAAACCACATGAACATTAATTTATACAATATGTTGTTAAGCGATTTTCAATTTAATATTCATTGTAGTACAATGTAAGACAATACGGAAATACAGTCGTCATTACATACTATGGTATGGTTATTATAGAGAGAGCAGTGACAGGTAAAAGAACGAGATTTAAAAATCAATAGAAAATTTAATTTAATCATACCATTACAATAGGTACGCACAATAGGCGCTCCGACGTCGAGTTGCGGAAACCAGCCCGTTGCACCATACCTTACCATCATTATAATTTTTTAAATCATAATTAGAACAAGATTGGGTTTCTATTGTGGGACACTACGGGCTACTGTTGCTATAAGTAGAGTAATTAAATTATTCATATTTTAATTTATTATAATTAATTCATTTATATAGGGATCTCTTTCATTTATGAGGTAGCCAGATGCCACTTTTCATGTGATTTGGCCTAAGTCACTTAGGGCGCGCTCCATTTGGATGCGTGTAGAAACTGCGCGTGACGCGACTGTGACTCATCACGCGTGTTTCTGAAGCGCGAACAAAACTTCAAATGTTTCATATTTGAATTCTGTTATGTGATAATTTCTGATGAATAAACCATACTATTAATTGTTTTGTTTAAACGGGGCAGGAAAAATTAAAAACAAATGAGAACGTTTTAAAATCCGTTCATAATATTTATTTTGTAAAAATATTACTGATACTGATATTACATGACAATAAAAAATAAACGAAATTTGAACATAACACCTTTTACTTTTGCGGCCTATTGGAATAAATGGCAGAACTGCTATTCATATGCATGGTATAGTTTATTATTATTAGGGTAATTTCATTTAGGACCTGTGCAGTCATTCATCACTGCAACTAATAATGTTGGTCTATTATGATTACCACTACTTATAATTAGGAGCGAATGCTAACAGTGTTAAAGAACTGCAGCATTCTCATGGCTGCACTTTTGATCGCCTCTAGTTGGGGCATGTGCTTTCCCGGTATGAAGTATCGTGCGCCCATCAAGGTTAGGAGGCCCCATGGCCATTAGGTAAGGAAGTACAGATAGAGAAATTTCATCCACTTCATGATAGAGTGTAGTTAACATTATTGTTAAAATCTCAAAATCAGCTTCACATGAATGATGATTGTCAACCAAAAAAAGTATGCACAACATTAGCTGTGACTGCCACAGACGCGCGACTGCGGTGTTACAAATGCGCTTCTAGAAATTGTTTGGAAATATTTAATGACATCACAGACATGCCACTGCACTGCTTCTACATACAGTAGGGCTAGCACGACAAGCCGCGACTTGAGCGAGAGCGACATAAAGCGCGAGAAGGCGAATCTTTTTGCCTCACTCTTTGCAGAGAGTTCGTGTTTGGATGCTGCAGGGAACCTACCACTTACTTTACCTCAGGCTGGCTGCACTATGTGTTTGTGCACCAGATCGCATACGCCAAAAAGAGGTACTTAGAACTCTGCGAAATCTAGACGTAAATAAAGCTAGCGGGCCAGATGGAATTCCAGCAATATTCCTGCGTAACTGTGCGCCTGAGTTGTCTCCTGTTCTCACACGTCTGTAACGCCTCTCATTTGAGACTGGTGTAGTTCGTGAAAGAGTACCTCAGGGTTCCATATTGTCGGCAATTCTCTTTCTGCTGCATATCAGTGATATGTTAATTCCTGGTACCCTTGCATATGCTGATCACAGCACAGTTGTAGATAGATAGGTACTTAACCAATGCAAGGGTCAGTGGAGAGGAAATCCAGTCTTGTCGAGAGTCCATGGTTAGCCGTTTGAATTTAACACTCCATGCAGTCTCCGATTGGGGCAATGCCAATCTTGAAAAATTTAATGCTACCAAAAAACAGGTGTGTCTATTCTCCACAAAATGGAGTTCCTTTGAGCTGACTCTGACTTTTCGTGATATATCCATACTGATACCCAACTGTCTCCATTTATTTTTCTTTTTATCATTAACTTTCAAATAATAAATTTTAACGTTCTTCTTGATGAATTTGATCTCTTAGTTCTCCTAGTCGTAGGTTACGTGCAGGGACTGTGTATTTTAACATTACTTCGTCTTGATGAATTTGATCTCTTAGTTCTCCTAGTCGTAGGTTTCGTGTTATAACTTCTACATTAATTTGGTAAATACGCGGACTTGCGCCCTTTCAACTGTGCAATTTCAGCAATGCTACTGTTTCACGGTATTGTTTCGATGGCAAAAATGAGGTTTCATAGAGGCTAACTCACATTCTGTGAGATCTAGCTTAAGCAAATTAGTGTTAAGCATCTGTTGGTGCAATATTACAATTTTGTACCTTTAGCTGTTACGCGGTATTTACAAACTGTTCTTCCGCGGTTTTGCATGTGCAACAATGATATGCTCCTCTAAAAAGTAATATATGCCAGGTCTATGCTAAATGTTCTTTTATTGATTTAGGTAATTTGACGGCAGTTTTCCCTTATGGTGTCAACGTAGTTGAAGATAGAAAGAACATGCTTGAATATAAGGCGCACTTTGATGAGTCCTAAGACTGTTATATATACACGCATTGACGATTGCAGTGAAGCTGTAAGGTGATAATGACACACAAAGAGACAACACTTCTGTCTAGCTCCTTCATTTATTGCTGATCTACTTTCAAAAGAATATTATAATGGTAGTTATTCGAAATTGGAAATATAGAGAATTGTTTACTTACCAACAATGAAGAACGTGCTTCCAATGAGGCACAGTCCGAGCCTTATGCAAACCGCTCTGTTCAGGCTATTTGTCACGCGGCGCGAGAAATAGCTGATGGGGCAGTTCCATCGCTGATCGCTAGGCTGCTGCTCGTACGTCACCGTCGTTGGCTGATACACTGCACTTGTCGGCATTTTTCACTTCACTTTAACCACCACACAACAAAACAAAGCCCGCAAAAAGTTAGCCAATACACCATAGGCTTATGACCAACCGTAAAATAATTGTCGCTACGTAATCCTCCTTTGTGAGTAGTGAATAATACAGCGCATAAGCGCCGAGTTAAAATACAAATATTACACAGTACAATATATACATTGAACGTTTAATTCGTAGGATTGCACCACAAAAATTTACAATCATACGACACGCATACGACGCACGCTATCGAATGGAACAGAATGGAATAAAATTGAACGAATGGAATTCCTCGGACGTCAAATGTGTAATTATTTTTTATTAATAATTTTGGCTTGGATACACGTCCTTTGAGCCACGTCTTCGTTTAATTATGTTTCTGTAAATATGGCCGCCACAAAGAGGATAGGCAATTTGAGGCGGGGCGTGCTTGGATTGACTCGGGATTCCTTAGAACGGGTATTTTAGTTCGAGATTCGTATAATTTCGCGTTTTAATCTTCGATTAAGGCACAATAGCACTATGGTTCTGTTTTTCGCCGAGAAATCCCAGTCTTACACTGATGTCGTAATTGTTTTACCAGAAAAATGACAAAAGGTGATCGATCAAAACAGCATATGTATAGTTTAATAAAGTTTAATTACAATATGAAAAAAATGTGTTAATAAATTAATGAAAAACGCCACATACTTTTTCCTTGACCCTCTCTATATATAATAGACATATCCCCTTTAGCATGAGAAAATTATTTTATGTGATTGGATTTGATGTTGCATTTTTTTAAGCATTTATGCCTTTAGTAAAAAGAAAAATAAAAAAATATATGGGGCTGGTCTGGGCTGGTGAGAGTTTCCGCTGATCGACTTTCTGGATACAGATACGACTTTATTAGATATACGGCTGCGAGTAGTCGACCTCCTACCACAACTGCGATGATTACCACATTTTAAGAATTTACGCAGCGCTGCGGACAAAGTGTTGCTTAAAATAGTGTACACTTCTATATGTCAGTCCGTTATAGCGTACTGTATAACCGCATGGGGTGGGGCTTCGAAGACTTGTATGCTCCCCCTGGAGAGGGCGCAACGAGCGGTATTGAAAGTCATCCTTAAGGAACGCATCAGGTACTCAACCATACTTGTTTACAAGGACATGGATGTTCTTAGTGTTCGAGGGATTTTTATTTTGCGCGTTGTTACAAAGTTGCACGCGGAGGTGTTAAGATTTCCTGAATATGCCGCAATGCTGCAAAGACGTAGGTTTAGAATCCCTGTACCCTTAACGAAATCGGCTTTTGCCCAGAAATTTAGCTCATTTCTCCATCCTTTTATTTACAACAAAATAAGTATCGAATTTCCTTTGAAAAATTACTCAATCAGAGAACTAAACTTGAAAGTGAAAAATTGGCTCAAATCACTTTGCTATGAGGATGTTGAACAAATTCTGAAAGTAGACAAATAGACAAACACACACATACACACACACTCACTCACTCACTCACTCACTCACTCTCTCTCTCTCTCTCTCTCTCTCACACACACACACACACACACACACACACACACACACACACACACACACACACACACACACGCGCACGACCACTCGCTCAGTCACAAGCACGCACAAGTAATTTAATTGCTTTGTAATTAACATTATTTAATTTCCCATTGTTTAATAAGTAATTCATTGGTTTTTGGAAATTTTCTCGTCTCTACTAACTTTTCGCATATAATATATATTGTATACTTCGTTTCAGTCCAATTTGAACAAAGTGTAAACTAATCAATATTTTTTTTTTATTTTTTTATTAAGGCTTTGGCAAAGCCATCAGCCTAAACATGAAGTTTAAATATGTTTCTGTAAATATGGCCGCCACAAAGAGGATAGGCAATTTGAGGCGGCGTGCTTGGATTGACTCGGGATTCCTTAAAAGGGGCCAATACGGGTATTTTAGTTCGAGATTCGTATAATTTCGCGTTTTAATCTTCGATTAAGGCACAATAGCACTATCCTATTCCACTTTAAACTAGATTTCACAAAATAAATGAAAGTCAAAATAAAAACGACACTTTTCCCTCCAAAAGGGTCCAGAGCGAATCGTGTAAACTTACAAATCACTGACCATAGAGGGTCTAGTGATGGCCACTTGTAATGCCAACTACATATCGATTAATTAATTGAATGAATGGATTTGTTAAATTGAGTCTTCTAGCCATATTTAAGATTTTCGAAATCTTAATTTATTATTAATATACATTTACTAATATACATTTTAATAATATACATTTGCAAATAACTACATTTATGTCGGAAATGAGGGCAATGTTCAATGAACTCAAGGAACAACAAAATCTAAAAATGGAAAAAATATTTTCCGCTATTGAAGAAATAAAAATTCAAAACAGCGATATAAGTGCTTCTGTCGAATTTCTATCATCGAAATATGATACTCTTCTGGGTGAAATCCAAGACGTCCAGGGTGAATGCAGGGACAACCAAAATTACATCAAAGCTCTCGAAGAAACAATAGACAAACTTGAGAAAAATGCACGTTCCACCTGCATTGAAATAAAAAATATTCCGGTAAAAACATCTGAAACCAAAGATTGTCTACTTAAAAATCTGCGAGACATAGGACATAGTTTGAATGTTCCTATCCAGTCGCAGGACGTAAAGGATGTCTTTGGCATGGGCTCTAAGGATCCCAAAAATAGAACAATAATAGCAGAATTTACAAGTACCCTCACGAAAGAGCAGATAATACGCACGTACAGAAAATTCAACAGGGGCCCTAGCAAATTAAGCACTGAAAATCTAAAATTAAGTGGACCTGTTAAACCAGTGTTTATTTCTGAAAATCTTACCCCCAAAATGAAAAGGTTATTCTATCTTGCACGTGAGTTTGCAAAAAGTAACGAATATGGCTACTGCTGGTCCTCCAATGGAAGGATTTTCATACGTGAGAAAGAGGGAGCACCCCTTCACTGGATCAAGGAAGAGTCAGATTTGAAGAAAATAGAAAAGATTTGACTAGATTTATTGTACTATTCTTACCTGTTCAAATACCGTTACTTTTCTACAAAATCACAAATATGTATATTGGAACAGTTTTATAGCGTAATTGTCAATCAAACTAAAATTACCTATAGATTACTTAGTATAATCATATTAAATCTGTGTTCATACGTCACCTTGTTAAACTCTGTCATACACTTACTCGTTTATAGGTATACACATTTCAACTACACACATACACCATACACACAGCACACAATTGCAGTTTAGATATTGTTTATTCTTCACTTGTAAACATAACACACCTACAATAAATATCCTAAATAAGGGTTTTCTGTGTACCCTCCATAACGGAACGTATTACTTGATTACCAACTTGATTATCTTGAAACAAACTCTGTGGCACTTACCTATTTTGTATATCCTACCAGTAAACTTGTTAATCTACCTTGATTGTTATGGCTAATAATATAAATAATATAACTAATGATATCGATGATATAGCAGTCTCAAGTTCATTTGTTTGCTCGCCAGAAAATTGTGTTACGCTATTGCCCCATAGTCAAAACTCACTCAAAATAATTCATCTCAATATCAGAAGCATAGGTTGTGATGATAATTTTGGAAATTTCCTCATTCTACTAGAGAGAATAAATATTAATTTTGACATTTTAATCCTATCAGAGTGTTGGCTCAGCAAATGTTCTCATATTCCTGTTATGGCCGGCTATCTACATACTAAATCCAAACACTGTAACCAAAATGATGGCGTTGTGGTTTATGTCAAGGAAAATCTCACCTGCATATTAGACGAACCCTCACTATCTGATTCTAATTGCATAATTATTAAATTTTCTGGTGATTTGGCTATATGTGCATTGTATCGTTCGCCTAGCTATAAAAACATTGATAACTTTCTAGATAGTCTTGACTCAACTCTTGCTTCTTTACGTCATTTTAAAAGTATTGCGCTCTTGGGTGATCTCAACATTAACATATCACCTCAACAATCTGATAGTAAAGCTGATGGATACTTAAACCTGGCTGCATCACATGCCATGTTGCCTGCACATGTATTTCCCACTAGACACGGAAGCTGTCTAGATCATGTACTGCTCAAAACGAACACACCTGCTGTCACCTTGGTATTGGATTCATTTGTCACTGACCACGCTCCCGTGGTTTTATTTTGCGAATTAAATAGTCGTCTTCAAATAAATCAGCGAAGCTCGTATTTACTGATATACCTGCCTGTATTGCCTCACTGAAGAATTTCGACTTCTCGCATATTCTCAATAATCAAAGTGCAGGCATGGCTACCAGTGCTCTGGTCGGTGATTTGTCCTCTACAGTTGCATCAAACTCTAGAATAGTAAAGACATCTAGTAGAAGAAGGACAGTCAAACCCTGGATTACTCGAGGCCTTGTGAGGTGCATTCGTAATAGAGACAAACTGCATCGTAAATCCAAAAAACACCCTGATAATGAAATCCTAGTGATCACATACAGGAGGTATCGCAATTTTTGTAATAACCTGCTAAAGAGGATTAAACGCGACTACGAAAAGACTGAATTTGAGAAACATAAGAATAACCCAAAAGAAACTTGGAAAGTTATTAAAAAAATTTCAAATTTAAACACCTGTACATCATCATCTCGTGAACTATTATCGCTGCATGCTTGTCCAGGGACCTCTCTTAAATTAGTCAACGAATTTTTTGCAAACATTGGCAAAAATATGGCCGATAAGATAACGCCCAGTACTACTTTCAGTCACGTTCCAAGCTTTGACGGCGAAGAAGCCCAAATAAATTCTATGGTTCTACTTGACACCGACAATGAGGAAATTGAGCACATCATAAGCGAACTCAAGACCGCTAGTGCTACTGGGTGGGACGGTATCCCAACTTTTATTATTAAAGCGGCTAAGAAATGTCTGGTTCCGGTTCTATGTCATGTTCTTAATCTGTGCTTGAGATCGGGACACTTTCCTCTTGTTTTCAAGAAGGCTCTTGTACACCCTATATATAAGAGTGGCGACAGAGACAGTGTTACGAATTA